AACTTTTTAGACCATGTCGTGCATTGTCAAGAATTATTTCCAAAGATGAATGACCATTATCTATTCTATAAAAATCCCTATCTTTTTACGCTCACACTGTATCCTTTACCTTCTCTAGCGGAGAAAGTTTTGAAAATCCTATTGATATAAAGAACAACAATACTGAAAACTATTTGCAAGTGGAATTTCTAATAAACAATTCAACAGATTGCGTAACTCAAGTATCAACTACACTCATTATGGAAAGATTATGATATTGCAAACCCAGCAAATGCCTCCGATAATTCAGATGAACGGTCTAAATATTTAATTGAGCCATTTATCCATCAGAAACGTCTGCACTGGCATGGTGGAAAGCCAATAAACCACGTTTTCCAGTGATAGTGTAAATAGCTAAATGGTGGCTATCAATATCAGCTACGACACCTCCATCACAAGACGATAAGTAAATGATAACGTTTTCCAGCGCGAAAAGTCATTTATTATTTTCATAATACGGCACAGTATTTTTTTCAGTCAAATGAATATATAAAATAGCTACATTCACACGAAAAAATATATTTATTAGAAGCACGAATGGCTCTGCGTGTGTTACATGTCGAACAACAATAAGTAATAATGTGCATGTTTTTTCTCTTTGCAAATCATACAACTTAAAACTTTTAAAAACTATTTGTATCATCTTTATCATTAATATGATGCACTGAGTCTGAATTTCTTCATTCTGTTTTCTCTGAATAAGTTATCGTTACACATTGTCGGTCAAAGCAGAAAATGGCAACAGCTTCATTGCTCATATTCGTTGCTCAACAACTGACAATCTATGGTGGTATTCTAATGCTTACGTTTGGTTTGATCGGTAATTGTTTGAATATTTTCATGCTTACATCAAAAACTTTATTTCAAAGATCGAGTCCATGTACTCTGTACTTGTTAACATCGTCCTGTACAAATGTTATTATAATCACAATGCCATTTTCAATTCGAATTTTAATAAGGTATTATTCATAAAAGAACATCTTGGTTGACAAAGGTGCTACTTCTTCCCTCGTCAGCGCCACTCAGTTCAGGCTACTCCGGTAGGATTATACCGTTTCGCGTAGTAAGTATGGTCAATTGAACAGAAATCATTCTTTGTCTACAAGAACTAATTATGCTTTTCTACACAAATAAAAACATAACTTCTGCAACATATATCAGATAATTGCTGTCGATAGATCTGAATTCTCGTAGACAAAGCATAATATTCTTTCAGACTAATCATAAGAGCATAATATTTGTGTAGAGCCCGAAATTCCTACTTCTGTCTTTTCTCTTCATATAGCAGTAACCGTATCAAAAATTCTATTCATCATTCCCATAGAAACAACATAATAGTCGTTTCTCAATTTCTGACTCGCTGTTGATTTTATCAAGATTTGATGCGGTATGGTGGAAATTAATATCAGAGTTAAATATGTCCTCATGTAAGCTTAACTTTCTTAAATCCTATGATTCTTCTTAAAAAGTAAAAGTTCAGCCCAAGCAGAAAAAATTTATCGACTATCGGGCGATATAGCTACCCAGGCTGAAAAGAGTAAGCAAGGAACTGTAGCTTATCAAGTAACTCAAGCGCTTAATCCTGGATTTTTTGGGTCAAATAGCTTGTGAGCTGCAAGCAGTCGATCCAGTAGACGCTTAATTGAGGGATTAGGGCCGAATTCAAACGCATCAGCTAATGTCAACTCACTTAAGCTAGCTTTGACGGATTAAAATTTGGGTTAGATACCTGCAAGCGGCCATTTCATGATTTTTTTTTTCTGCTTGGGTAGCTAACACGATACATGACTAGATACTGCTAGCTAGCCCAGTATATTACTCGATATATCGACGGTTGGATACTCATCTTTTTGTTTTGCAGCCACTGCACCTGAATATGTAACACATATACCTCACAAATTTACAAAGTTTTTACCCATGTCAAGCCAATATACTGAGCAATAATAGACCTATGTATTGCGAAAGCTGTATGTAGATATCCCTGGATGCAATATAGACAGCATCCTTTACGCGGTCAATATATGAGTCAATATTTCGCGCAATAATTGGTCAATATATCTACTTTCATAGCTAGTGGCGCATTGGTATCCGATACTGTCCACAATACATCGAGTGATAATTGATCAATAAATCGACTAAATAGATACTTAAAACATAGACATCGGGGACGACATCTAGTCGCTAAGTATCATATCCGATATAGCTAACTAACTCAATAAAAGTGGTATGGATAGCTAGCTACCATAATCCGATATTGCCCGATAATATATTTTTATAGCTAGATATTCTCAACGCCATTGTTTTGCTCGGGAGGAATTGAAAAACTAGCGCATTACTACCGCCTGCAATTTCACTTACCTGTTCTCCTGACGTCCTTCGCAAATAGGGTCTAAATGGATTCCAGTATGACCCAACAAAGGCAAATGCTTTATTATGCAAATTAAGAGTTTACATAGCACAAGTTGGTGTATTAGTTTCATTGTCAACTGTTTGTTTGGCAACAATTGATCAATACTTTGTAACATGTCGAAAAGTTCGCATACGAAGATTAAGTAAATTGTCAACAGCTCGATTAGTAATTTTATTAACAATCATATTGTGCTCTGGACATGCTCTGCCACTACTACTGTTCTTTAATATCTATCCCGTTATACAACAAAATCAGACCACTATAATTTGCAGTTTATATTCGACTCCCTATACCTTATATAATGTTTATTTTGTAAATCCAGTCCTTTTTGGTCTTTTACCATTATCAATAATGATTTTATTTGGTTTAATGGCATGGAAAAATATGCAAAAGATCGGCCCTGTTCTAACGGCACACTACAGGTATGATCGTCAGTTAACTCAAATGTTATTATTACAAGTAACTACAATTGTAATATCATTGATTCCATATTCTGCACAGAACATATATACTGGGGTAACTATGAAGATACAGAAAGATTCATTACGTTTGGCGGAAGACACGCTATTTGTATCAATATCAAATTTACTCTTTTATCTGAATTATGTAACAAGTTTCTATATTTATGTGATATCATCAAAAGCGTTTCGTAGCAAATTAGTAAAACGAATATCAAAACTATATTATAAAACTTGTCACAAACATTCTCCGAAAGAACGTCAGACAACAACACAAATTCCTGCAGTTTTGGTCGAAACGCCTTTATACTAAGTTAATATGAAATCAAACTTTCGCCTGATTTCGAATTTTCGCTCATCGTAAGCTTTGTGTAGCTTTAAACGAGCTTTTGTATCCATTTGTCATTACTTTATCGTCTTATTTATTACACAAATTCTAGAGAGAAATTTGATTTGATTAAATGCATACGATTTAAACTACTAGAGAAGGTCATCTAAACGCAGACTTCTTGTTCTTATGACAAAGAAGAAATGCGGAGTAGACTGAGTGCTTGTCCAAGGATAGAAGTTGGGTGTTCAAGAGGTATTGAAAATATATGACAAGTTGTAAGAATGGAAAAGTGGCGTTAGTAACTTTGATAAACACTCTGAAACCGTCAAATTTGGAGAAAACATATTTATATGTTTGAGAATTTTCTTGAGCATGTCTTTTCTGTCTAATTCACTAGTCGTAAGGGTTCGATACATCGATCAGGTAAAAGGAAAAACTACAAGTTTAGCAGAACAGCTTCATGGTACGGTGAAAATAGAATGTGGCTGTGTCTTGCTCGATAACGAGAAACACCACCGCAAGAAGTGAGCTCACCAGTACAACAAAATGTAAAAGTATCGAAATAATAAGTGCTATACGCATTATTTTCGTAGAAGTGTATAAAAGAAAAAGTATGCAACAAGAAAAATAAGGCTTTCTCCACCATAGAAACGGGCGATAAAAGTATTTTCCACCAAGAGTCGGTCTGTAATATTAAGTTTGGAATTAAAGTTGCTTATCGAACACAGGTATTACAATTGGACCAATGTCAATGCAACTGTCAAACTTTCCAATTCGTACTGAAAGTCTAGTTAAAAGAAACTAACATTCTGTGAACAACAAAAACGTTTCCAATTCAGTGCGTTTAATTCATGGAAAGTCTCATTATGACGGAAGTAACCATTCAAGCACTGATACATGACACAAACAGACATCATGCAATTAGAACACAACGTCGAAAATGATGATTACATCATCTTCTTTTTAACATTGCAATTTATACAGCGCTACTTGCATGATAATGAGGATTTTAATGAGGAATTAACGAATAAAATGAAAAACTGAGTTCACGTTTATTCCCACCCATGGGCGGGTCGGGAAAGATTTTTTAGGGCCGGCAATAAATTTTTTAGAGTAGTGCATACACAAATGTGCTTCCTTTCAGAGTCTTTGCCCGTGTTAACATACGTTTTGCTGCATTTAAAGTGTATTAAACTTGGAAGAGAAACAAGCTCCATTCGTTTATGCTTCTGATGCGGATGTTAATTTAGTTTTATTGTTCATTTATAAAAATGGATAAAAGCAAATGAATCATTTATACTTAAAAAATAAATATGAATAAATCAAAAAGAAATTTATCTTTATTTTATAAAAGTAAATAATCTATTTATATTTATTTATTTATTTCCACCTTTACTTTTAAGAATAAAGGTAGAAATAAATAAATAAATATAAATAGATCATTTACTTTTATAAAATAAAGATAAATTTCTTTTTGATTTATTCATATTTATTTTTTAAATATAAATGACGAATTTATCTTTATTTTTTAAGTAATTCAGCTCCATTTTATTATTACTTCGCTTCATTTCACTGCCATTTCGCTATCGCTACGCTTTACTTCATCTACGCTTCATGTTACATCACCGCTTCAGGTCACTCAATTAACCGATATGAAGTGACGAGAATATGGTGTTTTCTCCTTCTTGATGAATATACGTTGGTGAAGTCTCTCTTGAAGCTGAAAAATTCTAATGCTAACATTTCAGTAGTGTTTCTATGGTTACGAAAAGAGATTAAAAATATTGAAAAACATTGAAAAAGACCTTATAACATCTCTACCTAATAGAATAACGTTTTTTCTTGACGAACGTGCATATGGTGGTAATTCTAGTATGATAGCATTAATTGGCCACGCTGGTCTATGACGTGACTTATATAATGGTATACCATCACCATGTAATAATAGTGAAATAAAGAAATTTTCATTTTTCATAAGTAGTTTTTGATACTGAATGGGTGATGTTATGTCTGTTAAATTATTTTGCTTTAAACGTGCTGTCTTTTGATAATTTAATAATAGGTTGTAATTAGACTTTACTATTCTTTCCAATACATATTTTAAATTCGTTAAACATAAATCAATTGTTTGACCTATATTTAATTTTTCATTTAAAAATTGGCAGTTGTTATTTATACATTGTCCATGTTTTAATTCGTTTAAACAATTACTGCAAAATTTATATGTTTGATGATTTGATGTCAAATCTAATGAATTACATAATTTTATTGAAGTTGTTGGTGAATTATTCGGTGTTGGTGAAAAATCATTTACTAATTTCAATAGTTCATCTGTTTGACTTTTGGCCATTCTTAATTTTCTCATAAATGCCAACATTTTTTCACTGTATTCTTTTACTGTTCGATTAGTATATGCATGCAATGGTCTATCATCAACCGTAATTATATGATCATTAAATGAATTTAATATAAAACTATCATCTTCTGATTCATTCGATTCATCTGATTCATTAACAGTTTCTATATTACTTTCTGAATCTGAATGATTCACTATGTACAGATGCATTTACGTCGTCGCTAACATTTTGCATATGATTATTATATGAATCAACTAACATGTTTTCTTTTTGACTATAAACTACATCGTGTTCATCTGAGGCACTTACTGATGACGTGTCAGATTCATTACGAAATAATGCAATAATTTTTCCACTTTGATTTCTAGACTTTTTCTGTTTTACAATTTCTTTTTTAATTACTGACTTACAATGTTTATGAAATCGTTCAATGTCGTCACACATCTATGGCAAGTAAATAACACACTTCAGTAGCAAGAAACTATAAAAATTACAGATACAAATAGCATGCGTATTAATCATCTTTTACAAAAAAAAAAGAATCATCATGCAAACCGTTTTTTCTACTCATTCATTCCCCAAACATTTTCACGTACACAATGTCTGCTATAATATCCAGGTAAAAACTAACTGCGTTTAACTGACGATTTATGACGGACTCCAATAATCGCTTACAAAACGTAATGCATAGGAAGTTTTTTTGGCTATAATTCATTTGATGGGTTGTCGATTTAGAGATCTTAAGTTATAACTATTTTCTACTTTTTCGTCTAAAGTATAAGAAATTTTCTTACATCAGCTCCACATTCCAGTAGAACCTAGATCCGAAAAATGGCATGCATACAATATTTTTATGTCGTGCAAAAAGGTTTTTATTATTTATACAAGACTCTTTAAAACAAGAAAATATTGATGAAATAAATAAAAAATTGAGACATATTTCATACATTCATGATATTCTTAGGCGTCCAAGCTCATTAAGTAATGTCAATCGTTGGAAAGCATCTGAAATACGAGTATTTATTATGTATTTATCTATACCAATGCTGTATAACTACCCAAGCACACAAAAAGCATGGAGTATCGCCCAACGTATCTAGATTCGTCAATTCACTGGTCGATGCATCTAAATGCGTAAAAAGAAAGCCATCGAGACATCGCACGTTGTATCTAGATAAATATGGAGATATCTAGATGCATCTAAATACAGATAAATGTTTTTCTCGATGTAACGACATAACATTGCCCATGCATCTACTTGAGCAATGCTGTGAAGAATGCATTTAGCGTCCACTAAGTGGTTCATGCATCTGGCTGACTCAGTGATTGAGACAATACATCTAGACATCATTGTCAATGCACGGATGTGTCAGTGTTTCAATAAATACATTTATTCCGATACAGTGCTCTGGTACGTGGATGGAGACAAAAACATATGCTTATTTCGTGCACTTTTCGTTTTTAATTTCATTGGATGAAAGTTCTGAGTTTAAACCAAAATTAAATGAGACTTCATCTTTGGTTTTTAGTTTTTTCGGCTCTCCCGCATGTACGGAGATATTCGGAGATGAAATCTTATTTGATTTTGGTTTAAACTCAGAACTTTTATCCAATGAAGTTGGATAGACCCAAAACGAAAAGTGCACGAAATAAGCATATTTTTTTTGTCTCCGTCCACGCATCAGATTACTGTAAGCAAGCACTGCTTTACCTGCCTATTTTCTGGCTTCTCAAGGCATTGAGATTTGCATTGTGTGGCATTGGATTCAACCCGATACATCTAGATAAGTCAATATTTTTTACTCTTTTACCTAGATGTTCTTGCTGGCACATTGCCCAATGCCCCAGCAAGAACATCTAGATTTTTCCGCTGGGCAATTTTTGCTTGGGTATTTACCAATATATTTGAATTGTGCATTGGCACTTTACGTATTATTTATCAGATTTGTTCATGACTTTTGGCAAGGACCTGATTCATATGATGATGCTAAATTATTAATTAATACATATGAAACATGTATAACAATCAAAAGTATGCAGATTAAACCGTTATTTCCACCACGTTTATTAACAATTACAATGCATACATACGAACATTATATTTCTCAACGCTGTCAGATTCATGTTTCCCATAGAAATAACGTTGAATCATTCGTTATGTTATGTGCTACGGTTAAAAATTACTCAGGCGGTTGACCTCAAAAAAAGATAACTTTTCTAATGAAAATATTTCTAAAACTAGTATCTAGTTCGGTTTCCAGTATTAGGTATAAATAATCAGTTCTTGTTTTTATTCGAAACTGTTCGAAAAGTTAGAAAAAATGAATGTTAACTTAAAACAAGACTACGATTTATCTTACTCATATGTTCAGTTTGGAAAAACAACAAAAGAAATTACCTTTTTACTTTAACAACAAAAAATAATTATGATTATGTTTGTGAACTTTCGATTTTTATTCAAATTGCTCTTCTTGTTGTTGATTATTTTCTGTTATATTCATGTGCATATCATTTGATGATTGGTAATATTCATTGTTTAAATGTTCGTCATGACGTAATTTTTTTTTTATCTAATTCTTGCATCTCGTAATAATTGCACTAACGATTTTCGAATAAATGGTCATATGTTGTTTACTTGAACCATCGATTTATTGTATCGACGTTGAATAGCTTCTAAGTGAATTTAAACAAAACACAAATGAATGAATCTAGGAAAGTTAAAGAAGATTGTAAGGACCCAGGTCGACGAAAACTGGCATTTAATTGTCCATTAACAGCCTATTAATTGTATGCCAAAAAATGGCCTGTTAATTGTGTCAATATCGAATGAAAATTGTCATTTAACAGCCATTATAATGACAATTTTTTGACTTTGAAATAACGGTGAAAATAATGCCAGATTATAGGCAATGTCTGAAAAATTATCATTTTACGGACATCATTAAATGGCATTTTCCTCCATTTATTAGACCGCATTAACTAATGCCAAATAAATGTGGCCGTTAAATGTCTGTTTTTTCTCCATTTCAAAATGGCAAAAAACTGGTCATAAAATGGCATTTAACAGCCAGTTTATGGTCACCAAGTCATTCACCGTTTTATTCTGCTGTCATGAATAGTATAAATGACTCTGATTTTCCTACAGTAATTTAAAGTGTTTCTCTTATTCAATTATACGAGTCATAGAAGCTTGCCTCGAAGAAGTGGTCTGTAGTTCTTGACTCGATGCAGGTGATAGTACCTCAGGTTTAGAAGATATTTTTTTGACATTTTCTAACGGTCTAACAATTGATATTTAAATGGCAAAAAGTGTGACCAGTAGGATTACTGGCAGTCTTTTTATGCATGTGTTTGTATCAATCAATGCATTGTGTATCAATCCATGTCATGAACATGTACAAAACGTCTTAGCTTTAATCGATCCAATGTTAAAAAATGGAGATATTAATTTGAAATTATGGAAACAATCTATGCGACCCAATGTTACAAGTACTGAATTAGCTCATTTATATTTCCTACCAAAACCACATAAAGTAAATTTCTTTTTACATTGACCATTATTTCGAGAAAAATTATCACGTGATGGAACTATCTTCGCTTTCCAGAGATTTTTAGATCGATATAGCGAAAATCACCGAATTTATGGCATGACAATTGATACAATCACACGATTCACTCGTCTAGTATTAGATACCAATTGTTTTTATTTTGAAAAGAAATATTATCAACAAATTTGTGGTGGAGCAATGGAATCACCATTAACAATGACTTTAGCCAATATTTATATGTTAGAATGGGAACAACCATTGATTGAGCATCAAAAATCTCACCATGAACTCTATGTTCGGTATGTACAACAGAAAATCTTCATTATTTTCTTTTTATCACTTGATTAAATTTTCTTCGTTTGTCTATGCAGATATATTGATGATGTATTTATGACTACAAATGCATTAGCTCACATCAGTGTTGAACTCAACAGAGTGGAGAAAAATGATGAAAATATACGAATTACTCGATCAATAGGCTCTACTCTCGAATTTCTCGATGTTCTAGTAACGAATGATAATGGACAGTTGAAAACTTCTGTTTTTCATAAACCAGCAGCTGGACCTTATATTTTACCATATTTATCAGATCATCCACGTCATATTCATCGTAGTACGGTTAAATTGGGTTTACTTCGAGCAGCACGACTCTGTTCTCATGTCGACGATTTTGATCAAGAACGACTGAATAGTGAACTTACATTACTCTTGAATGGCTATCCGCCCAAATTTATCGCTTATCATTTTAGAAAATTTTTTCATAAGAATAAAATCACATCATTAATGGAACAATTAAATGACGATATATATCAAGAATTTCACCGAAAATTATTACTTCAACCAACACGATGGGAAAGACATCAACAATCACCTCAAAACTGCTCAAATCAAAAGCAGCTTTTTATCAATTAAACTTTCGAAAGTGGTTCGATGCTAAATTTCAAACATCAATTGAAGAGTCTATGGGAAAACCATTACCTACAGAACAATCCTCTCATACAAAATATTACTTTGAAAATACATACCACGACCAATAAAAACCTCAATCAATTGCTCGTAAAGAACAAACCACCTAAACTAATGTTAAAAAATACAGATATAGCAAATGTAAAACTTATAAGTTAAAAGTAAACCCAGCATATTGAACATAGACATCCACCGCAATTTCAATATCAGGACACCAAGAAGACACTTTATTCAATAACTCTTAGACATTGTAAATCTGCATATATATATAAACACATATTAACTTGTTTTTTGTTTCTCTTTTTTTCCAACCATATATATATATAATTTCTTCTACATATAATATCTACTATTATTATTTTAGATAATATATAATCTCACGCTGCACAGAACCACGCAACAACATCTAAAAAAAATCTTCAACCTCTATCAATTAGCAGTAATTAAATACCGACTCCTACTTTAGTTTCATAAACAGAATACAATAACATTAGTTTTTCTATAAAAAAATCCTACTTTCCATATTAATTTATGGCTTTAGATGCCTACTACTATTGCTACCTGATGATTAGACCGATCAATAAGGTCAAAACCATATATAGTCCCAACATATTCTCTTCCACAAACTCACCATTTAAATTTATAGAATATCTGCTACTTATAATAAAAGTAGATTTGAATTCTAAGAAAGACTCTTATCGAGTTCTTAATGTGAATCAAAACTTGTTTTTGTTATTAATACAGAATATCTGAAAACTACCTGATGATCGACGTCACATATACAAAACTTTACTTTTTTGTTCCCCACTGTTAGGAACAAACTGACGACCTGAATATGATTGATCAATACGAATTATTTTGTGTCATAAGTAATCAAATTTGACCATACAAAAGTCGAGATATCAACAAATCGGTTTTTTCCAAATCATCGAATTCCATCTAATTTTATTATGTGATAATTTGAAATATTCTTTATTATTCCGTTTCTTCCTAGTTCCTTCGTTCTATGTTTAAATTTAATTAATCTTTGTTTTGTTTTCTTCCTCTTGTCTTTTTCTTCTTCTTATTTTTCTGCTTAAATTATATGCAGAGCCCTGATAAGTGTTTCTATTAAATAAATAACACGAAACTCGTCGGTGAACATTTAACTTTGCATTTCTTTAATCATTTGAAAAAACTTAAGCACAACATTTATATCATTCAACCTCGATCAGAAGAATCGGTTGCTGAAAAGCAAAAGTTGGGACTAGTAGATTGGACTTGTCTTTTCGTCAAACGATAGGGTCAGTCTGTTTTCGATTAAGTCTTTGTACTTTCTCGGACAATTTCTTTTATTAAAAAAAATCAACATAACACATCTTGGTTAAGCACGACAAACAGTTATTTTGGTTGTTGGTTCAAAGCGATCGTGACGCGTTTAGAATTTAATGTATTTACTTTTATAATACATGTGATTTGATTTAAGTTTGAAAATTCGCATCTATTCCCCTCTCGTACTCTCGTTTCTTCTCTTGAAAATGACCATCTCGAATTAATTGTTTTGCTTCTTCAATTGTTTTTGCCTTGAATAATTCTAGAATTAAACTTTCTTCTAGCGCTGGAATTGAATGTTCTTTTGCAACCAACCGGCTTCGACCGTACCGAATCCCGGTTTTGGCTGTAGAGAGTTCTTGTTCTTTCAGACGCTGGAGAAACATTTCTTGATGGCGAAGATCGAACCGCCTCCTCCTGCACCCCTGTGGGTTTGGCATTGAATCCTAGACTGGAAAAGATGTTTCGGAAGAAACGTCCTCTAAAAATATTTACCAATTGAAAAGTGTTGCCGACTCGTTGCAATTCTTATTTCCAAATCGGTTCGCCATTTGCAATGATATTCTTCTCGAATCCTCTTGCGCCACATTGCGTTTCACCATCACATCCTTCCGTCTTGAACCAGATTAACTGGCAATGCGGACATTGTTTGATCAAATTTCTGGGAACTTGATTATCGAATAAACTATAAGACATAAGGGCCATTACTGCTTCCGCGAACTTGTCACATAACTGAACGTTTTTCTTTTGCAACTGGATATAAAATACATAATAATCTAATTCTTGCATTTGAGCACCATGTTCTTCTTGAACTTTTTTCAGTACAGCGTCCAGTTCATTTTTGTGTTGTACAATAAGCATGTGGTAGACGTTATCACGATCCTCAGGTGGTACAGTTTGTGCGACAGTTTTAACGAGTTCTTGAAATTGTCCATCAAGTAACTTTGTTTTCTCTTCATAGTTTTTATACCACATCTGGTTTTGACGTCTCGTTTCGGCTATATTGAATTTTAAAAAAAACTCTTCGTCGTTTATTGTTAATACATCTGGTTTCATATTGGATATGCAGCAATACATTAAATTTGCTGTTTCCGCATTCGAACTGTATTCCGAATAGCAAATTATATTCGATAAGTATGGACACTCATTTTCAAATAATCTTTTAATTTCTGAAAAATCATTTCTTGGATCTCTGGAATGGTCCCAATGAGAAATCATTACAACAACTTTATGCCCATAATTGTAAACAGGTTCTTCTACTCCCAGGTAGTTTTGCACCATTGTATCAAACCGTGATTCATATTTAATGATTATAAAAATTGTATTAATTGATACTGTTGTGAGAGCATGCCTTAACAAATATGCATGCTTGTATGTTTCGATTGAGCTATTGGTTCCAGGCGTATCGATCAAAGAAAATGCGTTTTCACCACACTTCACATCATTAAGGAAAAGATTTCGAGTGATACTACCCGATCCTGCACCAGCTGAATGGCCTGTTCCACAAAGTTTGTTGGCCAATGTTGTTTTGCCAGTTCCCGTTCTTCCAACTAGGATGCCTCGTGGTTTAGATTGCAATATAACTTTATCTACCATGTTTTTCATTAAAGGTGGACCTTCTAAATAAAAATAATTTTTTGTATAATTGCTAGTGTGGATTATGCGCGGGTGTAAATAGCTTCGATTTGATTTGTAAAACACATGAAGATCAATGCACGAAAATGAAACATAAAAGAAAGAGACTGCCTAAATAACTATGAGACGAACGTGAAATATGAGTGGAGTATTAGCCTTTCAGCGTGATTATAGATGCAATATAAACTTAGTTATGAATATCCTGTCAAAACCGATACGAAGGCCTTGTTAAAACTTTATACGAAAGCCTTGTTGCAAAAAACTTAAAAGGGCTTTTGGATTACGTAATCCAGAGATATTCCTCGTTACGAGTTGGTATTCCTTCTCTTAAAGAAAGGTATCTTTTAGAACGTCAAGTTTTCAGTCCAGTGTCAATCTTAATGTAGGTTATGCTAAACCCAGATCGGATTTTTTCAAGATCGATTACTTAGAAGTATGTTCCAAAGCCCTTTTAACTTGTTTTGATTAGCTTTTGAAGAACTCTATCGAATAGTAAAAACTTCGTCATCATAGTTAGCTCTGTCATGGTAAAATACACTTATTATCGTTACAATTTCTCGCTTCCGAGAGTATGTCTTGGGCTGATTCACCTCTGAACATGCTCCAATTAACTTTATTTTTTCAAAGCAATATGAAAGGCTCTATTTAAAGGTAAATTTCTTTAGTTGAGTGTTCTAACACCCAAAAAGAAAGAGCTATTTTCTTGTCTGTTTCGTTTCCTTCGGACTATTTCAATGATCAATTAATGATTTCTGAACGATAGAATATGTCATCAGAGCATGTCTTCATTAAATGGTAAATATCACTGATTTGAACTTGAAACACGAAGTATCGCAAGAGATTCATACTAGGTCGGATCTGAAAAATACGGTCGTATCCGATAGGTTTTTCGTCGGATTCCTATCGGTCGGAATCACATAAATTGCGATGAAAATCTAGTCGGCTCTGGTCCAATTTTCATCGTATTCCGTCGAAATCCGACCCATAGGCATCCGATCAAAACCCAATTGAATCCGATCGGTTTTCTATGAGAGATGTCGGATTCTGACGAAATTCGATCCGGATCCAATCGTTTTCGATCGGATCTACAGATTGGATCGAATCTTTTGGGATGTAGTCGAAATAGGTTTAAAAACAAATAGATCCACGAAATACCCTCAAAATGGAATCATCTGATCGATAATCGTACTATTTTTGAAAAAAACAATAATATATAAAGAATTTAGTTTTTACCATTTCATAGAGCTTATGACGTTGCTCTTGATACAGAAGAAATTTAGTTGGAATAATTTGCTAGAAATGTTAGCCCGATAATTACGTTCTGAATAATAAACTATTACTATATATTCTTCTCATTTCAAAACTATGAAAATCGCTAAATTAGAACCTATCTTAATTTGTCCTACCTATTGTTGCATGTTGTGTTGCTTCGAGATTTTAGCGTTCCTGGGTTTGTTTTCTTTCTGTATCTTCCTGTGTTTCGATGTCATCTTCTGTTGTTAAGGTGCCCTTTTCGCATTTTTCAGACAAGTGTTGGTGCCATCGTGCCATTGAAATCGTAAAACCACTTTGTAATTCATATCGGTGAATAATTGCTGCTTCAATATTTTTCACTTGTCTGATTTCGCCTTGAAATTGATGCTCGGTTGCATTAGATGCTTCATTGCCACCGGAATTTGCGTTCTGTTTTGATGATTCATAAGATGTTTTATCTTGATGCTGTTTTGAGGAACTATTCAAGCGCTCGCGGTCTGAACTGTGTTCTGATGACGTATCATAACTGCCTTCTACAGATACTTTAATGATATTTAATTTTCCGTCTATTTTTCGTGACGATTTATTTGAGACACGATCTTTCTCATCTTTTGTAATAGACTTCTGATTTGAATGTTCCGATGACCGAGCCATTGACGATGCGTTCGTATTCTCATAATTTGTTTTTGATTGTTGCTCCTTTTTATTTGTCATTGATGTAATCTTATCAGCTTTTAAATCTTCGGCAATTAACATCCCACTATCTGCCATTTTCTGTATATCTTCAATACTATATTTTTGGAATCCATTTGTAGCAATAGCATTTGTAATTTCTTGTTTGATTAAATCGGGTCCAAAAGATGATCCGCCAACACCAATAGTTTCAACAACAGTTAATCGAGTGGCAACTTTCATCGCCACTTTCTCCAAATACGAACGGCTTACCAGCATTTTTTCAACTGCACTCTGACCAAATACTTGTGTCTCTAGATCAATATTTTTCACTTGTTCAGCATCGATTTTCAAAGATGCGTTCACTGTTGTAATACCACTTAAACTATATTCATAATCCAATACAATATGATGTTTACTTGGCTCCTTCAATTTTAAAGCTATTTTCGACAATGCTTCGCTATCATCGATAGAAAAGATGATTCGTATTGGAGATAATTGACGAGGATTTAACAATGTACCAAAATATGTTTTTCTAGTACCATCCAAAGTTATGTTTAGTTGTGCAATAAATTTTTTAAATGGACAAATTTCAAAATTAGCAGACGTAAAATCCAATCCATACAATTCTTTAGCACGTTTCGCCAATTCTTCCTTGATAATTTCATCAAAACAGTGTTTCAGTGTGATTTCGAGTTGCGCAGACTCCTTTGGAGTTTTGTAAATCAAGCGTGTTTCCGGAAAGGTGGACCTTCTAAATAAAAATAATTTTTTGTATAATTGCTAGTGTGGATTATGCGCGGGTGTAAATAGCTTCGATTTGATTTGTAAAACACATGAAGATCAATGCACGAAAATGAAACATAAAAGAAAGAGACTGCCTAAATAACTATGAGACGAACGTGAAATATGAGTGGAGTATTAGCCTTTCAGCGTGATTATAGATGCAATATAAACTTAGTTATGAATATCCTGTCAAAACCGATACGAAGGCCTTGTTAAAACTTTATACGAAAGCCTTGTTGCAAAAAACTTAAAAGGGCTTTTGGATTACGTAATCCAGAGATATTCCTCGTTACGAGTTGGTATTCCTTCTCTTAAAGAAAGGTATCTTTTAGAACGTCAAGTTTTCAGTCCAGTGTCAATCTTAATGTAGGTTATGCTAAACCCAGATCGGATTTTTTCAAGATCGATTACTTAGAAGTATGTTCCAAAGCCCTTTTAACTTGTTTTGATTAGCTTTTGAAGAACTCTATCGAATAGTAAAAACTTCGTCATCATAGTTAGCTCTGTCATGGTAAAATACACTTATTATCGTTACAATTTCTCGCTTCCGAGAGTATGTCTTGGGCTGATTCACCTCTGAACATGCTCCAATTAACTTTATTTTTTCAAAGCAATATGAAAGGCTCTATTTAAAGGTAAATTTCTTTAGTTGAGTGTTCTAACACCCAAAAAGAAAGAGCTATTTTCTTGTCTGTTTCGTTTCCTTCGGACTATTTCAATGATCAATTAATGATTTCTGAACGATAGAATATGTCATCAGAGCATGTCTTCATTAAATGGTAAATATCACTGATTTGAACTTGAAACACGAAGTATCGCAAGAGATTCATACTAGGTCGGATCTGAAAAATACGGTCGTATCCGATAGGTTTTTCGTCGGATTCCTATCGGTCGGAATCACATAAATTGCGATGAAAATCTAGTCGGCTCTGGTCCAATTTTCATCGTATTCCGTCGAAATCCGACCCATAGGCATCCGATCAAAACCCAATTGAATCCGATCGGTTTTCTATGAGAGATGTCGGATTCTGACGAAATTCGATCCGGATCCAATCGTTTTCGATCGGATCTACAGATTGGATCGAATCTTTTGGGATGTAGTCGAAATAGGTTTAAAAACAAATAGATCCACGAAATACCCTCAAAATGGAATCATCTGATCGATAATCGTACTATTTTTGAAAAAAACAATAATATATAAAGAATTTAGTTTTTACCATTTCATAGAGCTTATGACGTTGCTCTTGATACAGAAGAAATTTAGTTGGAATAATTTGCTAGAAATGTTAGCCCGATAATTACGTTCTGAATAATAAACTATTACTATATATTCTTCTCATTTCAAAACTATGAAAATCGCTAAATTAGAACCTATCTTAATTTGTCCTACCTATTGTTGCATGTTGTGTTGCTTCGAGATTTTAGCGTTCCTGGGTTTGTTTTCTTTCTGTATCTTCCTGTGTTTCGATGTCATCTTCTGTTGTTAAGGTGCCCTTTTCGCATTTTTCAGACAAGTGTTGGTGCCATCGTGCCATTGAAATCGTAAAACCACTTTGTAATTCATATCGGTGAATAATTGCTGCTTCAATATTTTTCACTTGTCTGATTTCGCCTTGAAATTGATGCTCGGTTGCATTAGATGCTTCATTGCCACCGGAATTTGCGTTCTGTTTTGATGATTCATAAGATGTTTTATCTTGATGCTGTTTTGAGGAACTATTCAAGCGCTCGCGGTCTGAACTGTGTTCTGATGACGTATCATAACTGCCTTCTACAGATACTTTAATGATATTTAATTTTCCGTCTATTTTTCGTGACGATTTATTTGAGACACGATCTTTCTCATCTTTTGTAATAGACTTCTGATTTGAATGTTCCGATGACCGAGCCATTGACGATGCGTTCGTATTCTCATAATTTGTTTTTGATTGTTGCTCCTTTTTATTTGTCATTGATGTAATCTTATCAGCTTTTAAATCTTCGGCAATTAACATCCCACTATCTGCCATTTTCTGTATATCTTCAATACTATATTTTTGGAATCCATTTGTAGCAATAGCATTTGTAATTTCTTGTTTGATTAAATCGGGTCCAAAAGATGATCCGCCAACACCAATAGTTTCAACAACAGTTAATCGAGTGGCAACTTTCATCGCCACTTTCTCCAAATACGAACGGCTTACCAGCATTTTTTCAACTGCACTCTGACCAAATACTTGTGTCTCTAGATCAATATTTTTCACTTGTTCAGCATCGATTTTCAAAGATGCGTTCACTGTTGTAATACCACTTAAACTATATTCATAATCCAATACAATATGATGTTTACTTGGCTCCTTCAATTTTAAAGCTATTTTCGACAATGCTTCGCTATCATCGATAGAAAAGATGATTCGTATTGGAGATAATTGACGAGGATTTAACAATGTACCAAAATATGTTTTTCTAGTACCATCCAAAGTTATGTTTAGTTGTGCAATAAATTTTTTAAATGGACAAATTTCAAAATTAGCAGACGTAAAATCCAATCCATACAATTCTTTAGCACGTTTCGCCAATTCTTCCTTGATAATTTCATCAAAACAGTGTTTCAGTGTGATTTCGAGTTGCGCAGACTCCTTTGGAGTTTTGTAAATCAAGCGTGTTTCCGGATTCATATAAAACTGAATTACACCAACTGTAAACCATCGACACTGTCTGACTGCATTTACACCTGGACTTATCCCATCCTTTTGATTATTCGTGATTTCTCTTGTGTGTTTCGTTGGATATGCATCGACCTGGAATATTCGGCTTGTATTACCACGATCAACTCTTATTTGACAGCTCAATTGAGCTCCGTCCATAATCAAATCATCAGAGTTTGAAGAACTCATTTGATACTATTTAACTAAACAAAATTTATAAATATCAAAATAGAAACATAAAGTGATCTAAAAGAAGAATTTGTGGGTGAAGCTCATATATGTTCTTTAATCGCATTAAACTGGTATTTAATGTATCATTTTTTTCTCGTATATGACTTATACATTCACAGAAGTTGATCAAACTCAATTATCGAAGCGATGTCGTAGCAGACTAGTGGACGTCCCGAACTGTCGGACACCATTTGAACCCATATTTTGTCCATCAGTATAACTCAGTGAAATTAAGAACATTCTACAAGGAGTTAAGGCCACTTTACTGAATTTTTGGCCTATGTATAGACATTCACTACAAAGTCAAATTAAGAGATTTTGATCTGAAATTTGCCAAAAATAAGTGTAATGATCCTCAAGATATCCTGAATATTTCAAATCAAACCAACGATGTTTTATTGAAATATTGAATTTTTACGTAAAGTCGATTTTTCAGACAAGCAAGTGACAAGCGACCCGTTTTTGAAAATCCAGTAAACCTCAATATTTCAATAAAAGATCGTTGGTTTGATTTGAAATATTCAGGATATCTTGAGGATCATTACACTTATTTTTGGCAAATTTCAGATCAGAATCTCTTAATTTGACTTTCTAGTGAATAACTATACACGGAGAAAAAAAAACCGTGAAACTCATGACGGTTTTTATACGCGGTTTCTCGCAGTCAGTTTGGCACGGCTTTTTTTCTCGGTTTTAGTTGTTCATGCTTTTGTTTCCTATGGTTCCAATATGACAGTTTTGCTTTGACGATTTTAAAACTTTTAGAAAAACCGTCCAGGTAAAGCTATGCAAGTAAAACCGTCTACTTTAAAAGGGAAGAAAAAAAGAACAGCTCCTCCAAGAATCGAACCTGGGACGCTTGGTGAGTATGAATTATGAAACCAAGGCACAAACCACTGAACTGAGGAACTTACAGAAGTATGTCTTCGCATTACAT